AAATCAAAAATGCCTCAGGCCTGGATGGCTTGCAGTCACTGATGGAAGAAGGATTTGAAAATTATATTAGGAAATTTTCAGCGACCAGTCTTCGATCTAGTACTCGGAGGAGACGTTGGGTGATCCAAAGGCTTCGGATCTGGCTAAGTCAGGGGCGTGGCTTTAACCCTGGTCAAATGACTCAGGGGGCCTTTTCATGCCAGAAATGTTGATGAACAACATTATTGTAGGAGATAATGATCCACAATTTCTCTTATAAGCAGATACAGGAGACTCATGCTGCAAAATAAACTCTACATTTTAGCAGTTTGCAGTATATATCTGGGTGGGACAGTGGTGTGGAAAGCCTCACAGCAAAAGTCCTGGGCTAAGATCCACTGGCTGGTGCATTTCTGAGTGGCTTTTTCAAAGCCATACATTAACTGGCAATTGTAAACTGGCTGTAGGTGTGAATGTCTATGTGTTAGCCCTGTGATAGTCTGGTGACCCCGCCTTTTGCCTTATGACAGCTGGGATAGACTCCAGCGCTCGCACAACACTGATTTGACTGAGCGGAAGAGGATGGATGAATGATGATTGCTTAACTGAGATAGTGGGTAAGAAAATGTTAGTTTAGTGACCTCTGTGAGAGAGGAAGGTCATAAACCCCACTGTGACCACTCTGTGATGCTTTAGGAGGTGTAAATCCTTCACAACTCTGCGGTTGATGCCTCAGGTTCTTTGACTATAGATATAATGACGCTCGAGCTCTATATCATTAACATCTGTTTGCCATTAGGGAACGACAAGTGGGCGCATATTGGTGGCCAGAAGCAATTTAAGTATTGGCAAGATCATTGTTACCTTGCCCCACAACACACAATCATTTTGGCATGCTGGAATAATACCAGTATGGGTTTCATAGACACACACGTGCAATTACACACAATTCTACTGCCTTGCGTCACAGAGTCATGCAATCGATATTTTTTGTGTATTGGCAAACTATGCGCAGGGCCTCACTGAATTGCAATATATACACAAAATACTCATTAAAAACAGCTTCTGCTTGTCATGTACAGAGCTGGCACAAAAAACCATACATATAAAATCAGTCACTCAATCAGCAATAAACCATTTAGAATCCCGTTATTAGTTTTATGTTTTAAGTCGGCGAAACTAGCAGTTGTTTCCTGGTCTTAATATTGAATCTTTTCAGATGGTGTCATTAATGATCACAAAATCAGAGCTTGATCAGATCAACTCTTTATGAGCTTTGTGCTGCTACTTGTTTATTAGATAAGATAATTGTATTTTTTATGATGGCTTTGATATTGTTTACTTGTGTCGCCACTGCTCCTGCGTTGGAAGTTGGCTACGTTCATGTAATGTCACTTCTGGTTTTATGAAGCATCCGTCTCTGGGGACAACAACAGATGGATGTCATGATAACAACCATTGTTCATCATCACCCGGCTGACAGGTCCACACGCTCACGGATTGGCTTTGCATTGCTGGGTTGTCACTAACAGCGACATCGACAGCATGCAAAATTAACTTCGAACATGGACCCAAACACACGCAGTTGCACACACACATATCTGTGTACAGAGGAAAAAGTCATACATGTCATGCAGAGCGTTTGGACAACTTGATAACATTAAAGATGTCATGGGATCATTTTTAGGCGATGACTATTTGGACAGATGTCACTTTTAAACAAACTAAAGTGTGATGTTTGGTTTGTTTAAATCAGACTCTGGTTTGTTTTTCCCTTTGGTGTGGTTTGTTTGTACAAATATGAACATGATAATTGCAGTGGTCTAGGTCCGGTTCACAAACAAACTCCAGAGCAGTTTGTCACAGACCGGTTTAATGTCAGACTATATTTTTATGGACCGGCCTTTAAAGTGTTGCGGATAAATACAACAAAATAAAATGAAACGACCAAGACAAAATTGTGATTTTTATTTTTTTTCTTGGTAAATATAATAATAAACGCAAATTTAGCATGTAATTGTCTAACTTTATTAGCAGCGTCCTTCTGATATGCACCAACAACACTGAGAGTAACATCCTCCTCTCTGTCCCTTATTTTCTCTGGTCACTATGGTAAAGCGTAAATATTTCTTTCAAAATAAGACACACAACTACAACACAGGAAAAGAGCCAGGGAAACAGAGTTAATGATAAAAACGTAGAAAACCATAAATTTCACACCCGAGCCTCAACTCTCGCGGCCCGGTACCAAACGACTTGCTGACCAGACCGGGGTTGGGGACCGCTGATGTAAATGATATTATGTGTTTACAGATCATCCGCAGTCTATTTGAGTTTTAGTCTACACATCTTTACCTCCAGACTATAAACTAATGCATGTGGTTAGACTTTTACTGCTATAGCTAAGAGTGTAGTTCTTATTCTAGGACCCACAGACAGAGCAGTTGTGGGATAATGAGAGCATTCAGCTTTCTTTAGCAGCTTTCCACAATAGTCGGGAGGTTTAAAGGAATTTTGTAGCTCCTATCTTAAAGGTTAGGAACAGGTAAGTTGACTTGAGAATATTACAAAGCTGTAGGATTTCAAATAATGAGCTGAGGTTTCCACCTCTTCCCGATCTGGTGCGACACTGGGACACTTTTTTCACGAGTTTTTATCTTTTAACAGCTTTTTTTAGGCTCACATTATCTCTTTTTGTCTTCTGTTTGTCTGTTTTTATGTTGATCTTTGAATCCCTTATATTCATACCGTTGTCCATATGAGTGTACAGCTTTTGTTTTTTGTGTTAGTCAGTGTGTGCCTTTGAGCTGGCACGTTGTTGTTGTTTGTTGTGTTGGTGCGTTGTGTGTATGTGTGCTGCTCCTGAAAAGAACCAAATTCTGCTGAGTATTCATTGGGGCTTGATAAATCCTTACCTGGAGTTAAAGCTGTCTTAGTCGCACTCTCTCACACAAGAACACCATGGAGCATCAATGAATACAGAGTGATGGTAAAAGTTATGAAGGGATGATAAGAAGGGGGAGAAAGGTGTTGAGGAACAATGATGAGATCGCTGCTCAGAGCCGAGGTGCTCAAGGCAAAAGGAGAGAGTGCAAGAAATTATCAAGAGACATACTTACGTGGGGGAGAGTGGGCAAGAGAGCGAAGAATGAATGATTAGAATGAGTTTTCCCCCTCTGGAAAAACAGAACAGGAGGAGGAGGGGCATTGAGGGGTCTGTGGAAAGGCAAAGAAAATGAGAGAAAAGAGGATTTGGGGATTCCAAAGAACCCTTTGGCAGAGGAATAGAGAGGGAATCAGATGAAAACAAGAATGTGAGGATGGCAGTGGGACGGGGCCAATGATTACAGGATTGTATGGATCAGAAGAGGCTTGAGTGAACAGACAATGAGTAAAAGATGGGTAACATATGGAAACAGAAGAAAGCGAATAGATGGGAGGAATGGAGAAAAGAGCTACGAGCTATGAGAGGAGCAGTGGCAGAGAACAACAGAAAAGGTCCAAACTGGCCAAAACACAACATTTCTGTTCATACACCGCATCTTTTATTGTATTATTGTTATTATTTTCTTAATTTGGCCTAATTTTTCTCTTATCTGTGGACTTTAGCAGAGGCTGCATGGCATGCTTCTGAAACTTGACTACACCATGTTGTAAATATGGTTAGTTGAATGTTGTGCTTGGTTAGTCAGCAGAGATTTTTCCTCCTCTACGTTGAAAGATCAAGCTGTCTTTGCCAGTCTGGAATTAGCCTGTTTGTCCAGCTGTGCAATAGCGGAACAACAGGTTTTCTGTTCAGCATGTACGGCTCATGCTTAAGGACATTCAACTCAACCCTGCACATTCTAACACTCAAAAAGACAGAGACCCGAGGGGGGGAGAGCAGGAGGGAGAATAGCTATGAATGCATACTCCCTTTAGGTACAGTACCATTTTCATATGCCCTTTCCCTTTAGCCATACATGGCCTAATCAGTGAGCTAATTAGCACTTTCTGTAGCTGCATCAGCCTCATGTAACTCATTGCATTAACAACTGCCACAGATCAAACCGCCACGTCTCACGCTTGTGCATCTCATTATACAGTAAGTACACGAAGGCCAGACTTTAACTAGAAATGAAATGAAGCATTTTCTGCCACAGATGGTGTACAGATAAATACATTCCAACTGTCCGTTCATTATTAATAGGAATTCATTGTGGGCATACTTATAAGCCTTGGCTTTTTTCCATCCATTTGAAGTAATCCAGTTAATATCAGTGGAGCTGTAATGTATGTCCATATCTGTATAATATCTCTATGATCATTATCAGAAATACAGAGGACAAGGAAATGCAAATAAGATGTATCACACGTCCAAAGAAATGTTTTACAAACAACACAAATAAAGGACAAGAAAATTCAGGCTGTGAATCAGAAATCTTGTTTCCATTGTTCTGTCTTTTTGTAGGTTTTTTACCTTACAATATAAAGCACCTTGAGGCAACAGTTTTTGTGTTTTGGCGCTATATAAATAAACCTGAACTGAGTTGTCATTTTAAAGTTCTATTGTTAGTCTTGTAGTAAGAGAGTAATCATGTCTTTTTAACTACGTAGATGGAGCTACAGTTAAATCAAAGTGGTTAATTAGCACCAAAGGTTTGAATGTGTTACTGCCACTGTTTCAGCAAAGCTAGCCACCGTCACGATGAGCGGTTAGCCTCTGCTGTTGTTGATCGGTTGATCTTGAAAAGAGTCACTTTTAGATGTTTATTAATAATCGTACCTGAATTACGTGACAGACGTATGTAACAATGTTTAAGATCAAAAACTGACATCTTTCAAGGTCAAAAATCTTCCCGTGGGTTTGCACTTCAAAAAATATGATCACCCCCTCATCCAGCGTCAAACTCGATACTGCACCTCTTCAAGTCTCCATCCAGATTGTCATTAAAAAACATAACGTCATTTATTAGTGAGATTATTTGTTTTGTGTTGTGTAAGTGATTCTTAAACATTTCTCTTTTTTTTTCTGTCTGCAGAAGAAGCAAAGAACTAAAGAGCTGTCGCAGGTCTTCCACTCTTACAACCCTTATGACCATAAGGTAAGATCTTTCACTGTTTGTCCCTGAATAACTTTCCTCGCCAGCGTGAATTGCAGCATTTCTTTTTCAACAGTGTATATTGCTTTATCTGCTCATTTAATGTATCTCAACGAGCCGAGCGTTGAGCTTTCAGTGTCATTCGCCTCTAGACCGCAAGGTTAGTTGTTGTAGGTCACCATCGCTGCCTTGTATTCAAGGCTGTGATGAATTTGTTGTCTCTCCAAGATCTATGGCTCTTGTTAGAAATGTAGTGAATGAGGACGGCTCAAGTGTTTGTTCCTGATTGCATCGTGAGAGCGAGCGTGTTTGAGAGAGTGAAGTCTGATATAAAGCTAATCATCTCTGTCCATGTGTGGATCCTCCTGTATTTATCTCCGTCTGGGTTCATACGAAGTGCGATCAAAAAGTCATGAACTGCACTTATAAGAAGAAAAAGCCTTACGTGTTATAAAATTCTCTTGGATACTTGAGGACATTCGACTAGAAGTCATTGTTGACAGGCTATTGCTGGGGGACAAATTCACAATGTGCTACTGGATGAGTGTCGGCAAGAGTTGAGGCTTTTTTCACTCTTAAAACTGTTGTTTGTTGTCTGAGCCACAGCTGTACAGCCAATAGTTGTTACTCTGTTCATCACACAACATCACAGAAACTCTTACTACACTTACTGCTCTGTGTCATGTGACCTTGGCTTTGTGCTGTTAGCACGGAAAAGAAAATTAAATGTTATCAGATTGACATTACACAGCAGAACAAAAATGACACTATTCAGGCACATTTATGATTTTCATTCATATATAAAGCCGTGTTCTGAAAGGGTCAAACCCATGAACTCTAATAACCATCTCCCATCATGAACGAGATCAGTTATATCCAGCTATGTAGCAACACTTTAGCTTAGCTTTTTAGTTGTAACAAAGTATTTTTTTATGTGTTAAGCAGTAATTTTAAAGATTTGGGAGAGATCACGTTTTTACTGGTGTAGACACACACCTTTGCAGATGCACACAACCTCAGAAAGACATTCAGAAAAATTAGTAGAAAAGAGGATTTTTAGCAAAAGCAGAGAGGGTGAATAAGGAGAAGAGGAGAATGCCATTCAATTTTATAAACGTGTTTTTATCTCAATCAGACATGGTTCATAAGCAGGCTCTATCCTTAAGTATGATTCTCACAGGGATTGAGAAACCAGATGTATGCCACTTGGCGTGGCCACTTGGCGTGGTAAGCTGCGGCATCTTGTAAATATCTTTTTACTTTTTTCATTTTCATGTTTTCCTTCTGTTTGTTGAACATGCTGATAAAGTTTAACTTTATTGAAGAAGTTAAATTCTTACTACTGCATGAAGCCTCATTAAACCCTGGTCCACTTTTGGATAAATCTTTGAATTTAATAACAGGAAATTTAATAACAGGACGCTACACATAAAGAATATCTCTTTCTGAAATTGCCTTGGAAATAAAACCCATATTGTAAAGCTTATGGCTATATTCTTTTCAGCTCCACATGCTGTCATCTTTTATGAAAATTCAAAGTATACATGGATGTTGATTTATGAAAGAATGAATTAAGGATTAATTAAGCTGTTGAGATAATACAGTACATTTGACACCATATATCAGACATAATCTGAGGTTGGTTGTGATATTTTTTTTTTTTATTTTGCACATTACATTGTGTTTGTTTATACTGTAGAGCACATTTGTAGCACTTTGTAGTGATCTAGAGTGGGATCATGTGTAGTCCATTTGTACACATTTGTCTTACGTCCACTGAAATCTTAAAGTTCAACTTAACGATTTATTGGTCAAAAATTGGCAAAAAGCCGTAAAACTTAAAACTATGACTTAAAACTAAGTGTGCTGCGTATTGTCAACGTACAGAAGGTACTGTATAAGTATTTAAAATATCATGCCACATTTGACCTATGACCTCTTCTTCAAAGATGAATAGACTGACCTGAAGGTTCAATTCAATTTTATTTATATAGCGCCAAATCACAACAACAGTCGCCTCAAGGCGCTTTTTATTGTAAGGTAGACCCTACAATGATACATACAGAGAAAACCCCAACAATCATATGACCCCCTATGAGGAAGCACTCTGGCGACAGTGGGAAGGAAAAACTCCCTTTTAAAAGGAAGAAACCTCCGGCAGAACCAGGCTCAGGGAGGGGCGGCCATCTGCTGCGAGCGGTTGATTCAATGCAGAGAGATCTATTAACTCATAGTGAGTGAGAAAGGTGACTGAAGAAGAAAAACTCAATGCATCATGGGAATCCCCAAGCAGCCTATGCCTATTGCAGCATAACTAAGGGAGGATTCAGGGTCACCTGGTCCAGCCCTAACTATATGCTTTAGCAAGAAGGAAAGTTTGAAGCCTAATCTTAAAAGTAGAGATAGTGTCTGTCTCCCGAATCCAAATGGAAGCTGGTTCCACAGAAGAGGGGCCTGAAAACTGAAGGCTCGTCTCCAATTCTACCTTTAAATACTGTAGGAACAACAAGTAGGCCTGCAGTGCGAGAGCGAAGTGCTCTAATAGGGTGATATGGTACTACAAGGTTATTAAGATAAGATGGGGCCTGATTATTTATTATTAACGTTAAAGTGATAGTAATGATATTTAGAGCATTGCTTGTATTGACAACATATTCATAACAGTTTGAATACATGTACAGTGTACCTGAATAAGTATAATCATTTTTGGAAAAGAGAACTTAAAAGATTAAATGAATGCTTACACGTACTTTAGCCACATAAATAAAAAATAATTGTACTCAAAATTCTCTCAGGTACGTTAAAAATGGTTTTGATGGGGGAAATGTGTAAAAGGCTGCACTTTAAGCTTGTTTTCACTGCACCTCAAATGTCTTATTCCCTTAAAAGTAAAGGTGAAGGTTTTCCTTTAGATTTACAAAAAATATTCCAGCTTGAGTGTTTTTAACACTCTACAAATCAGCTCATGGTATATAAATGTTACCGTTGGTCTTGTTCCTTTTGTGGAGATGTGCCAATAGATCCCTTTAGATTAAAAATCTGGATGGCCGTGAGATGTGATTTAATGATAGCAAATGTAATGTCAAGCATGCATTCTCCCACAGCAGGCAGAGTTTTTCCTGTCCTTGCCCGTGTTCGTATACTGTGTAAATGTTGAAGCAAATCAGCGTGTATTAAGCCCATATAGCCCTTAGACAAAAATAAATGAAGGCTGATAATGTCCCTCATTTTCCATGATTCCCTTGGGTGTCTGCTAGCTCAGCTTATGGTTTATTTAAGGATATCATGTGTTTACTAACACATCCTATGTCTGTGCGTCTCCGTGCGTGTTTGTGCGCGAAGCTGAGGGAGAGATAACGAGCGAGTCAGCGTTTAGATTTAGAGAGAGGGGAGAAATAGTCGTTTCTGAAGCCATTATTGCTTTTATGCATCTGCCTGTTGTGATGAAAAGGTCATTAATAAAGACTGAGTTGGGGAGAGGGTTGTGAGTTAGTCGAGGCTTTATTGTAGCTTCAGGGTACCAACCCGATGAAACAATGTTTTTAAATGAACTAATTGTTGTTTTTGTACAGAGCTTGTGTCTTAATCTATCTTCAATAATTCTGAATGACAAACTGAGTAAGTGGCTCGCTAAAATAAAAACCATAAAAGGTTTTTAGAAAACATAGGTGTTTTCTTTTTGTTTTCACTTTGACATTACAAGTTAAACTATTGCAGTCTGTGCACGGTAATTGGTGTTAAACACCCCCCACCCACCCCCCCGATAGAGAAAATTATGTTAATATAAATATAAATAATCACCTAGTTTAAAAAATATAAATGTATGAATATATATAAGTCATAGTGAGCGATTGGAGAGCTCCACTTTCAAACAGTTAGTATACATTACTTATAGACAATTGCACTGTTCTGTTGTATTTATGTTTAAAAGACCTTCTTGTGTCGTGTGTGTGTGTGAGTGTGTGTGTGTGTGTTTACAATGATTAATGTGAGGTATCCCTTAGCCAGATGGTGCTGAACAAGGCCCATCCATCAGCAATGAAAAGAGCAGTGGGCAGAAAGCTGGCAGAGCACTTTGTCTGGGGCCAGTGCCCCCATCGGACACACTCACATACAGACTCTCTTAGGCTTTGACAGTGTAACCTATTAAGCCGTGTTGGATCCTTGTGTTATTGTTTTGGGGCTTTTTTCTTATTTTTTTGCAGGATTACAGGTTCTTGTTTGTTTTTTGTTGTTTTTTTTCCGCCTTTAACTTAAAAAAAAATCAAAACAAACAAACTTCTAGGGTGGAGGCTTGTTTCTGTTTTTTTATATCAATGCCAAACTTCTTTTCTCTAGCATGCAGTAGAGGGGCAGTATACTACTGTAGGTTTTTCAAATGCAGAGAATTTTACTAAAAGATATAAATGCTGAGCTTTTCAAAAGTAAGGACAGGAAGATATTCTGTGAATGGTAACACCAAAACTGTGCTTTGGTCTGGTGGTTGATATTTGAAATTCTTTGTGGGAATTTCTCCCCAATCAGCTTTTTCCAGCCAGATGTTGACATTCTGATTGGACGTTACACTCATGTTAAAATTGTCACTCTGTGGTGACACACAGAGAATCCTGTGAATGAAATGAGAGGATGATACAGAGAAATGACAGACTAATTATAGACAGACTTGTAAGAAAAATAATAACATATCTCTTTGTGTAATTGTCTGAGGAACAAACACCAATATGACCTCCACTATTAACCAATAAGTATCTTTTACAGTGAAAACAATTTAAAACCTGTTCATAGCTCGAGTTATTAAGATACTTGGAGTTTTTCTTATGCGTATCGCATAGTCAGTGGTGATGCACAGTAATACTAGCATCCTTGCTATTGTTTGCCAAGAACAACTAAGTTATATTTCCCTGTATAAATATGTAGTTAAAGGGTGTAATTGCACTTTTCTCATTCAGACTTTGCTGCATCACCGTGTCATCACTTGCAAAGTTTTGCTCCCTGAAGGATTT